GGTGGGGTGCTGCGGGTGGGTGGAGGGGTGGGCTGCTGCGGAGGGGTGGGGTGCTGCGGGTGGGTGGAGGGGTGGGGTGCTGCGGGTGGGTGGAGGGGTGGGGTGCTGCGGGTGGGTGGAGGGGTGTGGAGCTGCTAGTGGGTGGAGGGGTGGGGTGCAGCGGGTGGGTTTAGGGGTGGGGTGCTGCGGGTGGGTGGAGGGGTGGGGTGCTGCGGGTGGGTGGAGAGGTGGGGTGCTGCTGGTGGGTGGAGGGGTGGGGTGCTGCTGGTGGGTGGAGAGTTGGGCTGCTGCTGGTGGGTGGAGGGGTGGGGTGCTGCGGGTGGGTGGAGGGGTGGGGTGCTGCGGGTGGGTGAAGGGGTGGGGTTTCTGCGAGTGGGTGGAGGGGTGGGGTGCTGCTGGTGGGTGGAGAGTTGGGCTGCTGCTGGTGGGTGGAGGGGTGGGGTGCAGCGGGTGGGTGGAGGGGTGGGGTGCTGCGGGTGGGTGGAGGGGTGGGGTGCTGCGGGTGGGTGGAGGGGTGGGGTGCTGCTGGTGGGTGGAGGGGTGGGGTGCTGCGGGTGGGTGGAGGGGTGGGGTGCTGCGAGTGGGTGGAGGGGTGGGGTGCTGTGCGTGGGTGGAGGGGTGGGGGTGCTGCGGGTGGGTGGAGGGGTTGGGTGCTGCAGGTGGGTGGAGGGGTGGGGTGCTGCGGGTGGGTGGAGGGGTGTGGGTGCTGCGGGTGGGTGGAGGGGTTGGGTGCTGCGGGTGGGTGGAGGGGTGGGGTGCTGCGAGTGGGTGGAAGGGGTGGGGTGCTGCGGGTGGGTGGAGGGGTGGGGTGCTGCGGGTGGGTGGAGGGGTGGGGTGCTGCTGGTGGGTGGAGGGGTGGGGTGCTGCGGGTGGGTGGAGGGGTGGGGTGCTGCGGGTGGGTGGAGGGGTGGGGTGCTGCGGGTGGGTGGAGGGGTGGGGTGCTGCGGGTGGGTGGAGGGGTGTGGAGCTGCTAGTGGGTGGAGGGGTGGGGTGCTGCGGGTGGGTTTAGGGGTGGGGTGCTGCGGGTGGGTGAAGGGGTGGGGTGCTGCGGGTGGGTGGAGGGGTGGGGTGCAGCGGGTGGGTGGAGGGGTGGGGTGCTGCGGGTAGGTGGAGGGGTGGGGATGCTGCGGGTGGGTGGAGGGGTGGGGTACTGCTGGTGGGGTGGAGAGTTGGGCTGCTGCTGGTGCGTGGAGGGGTGGGGTGCAGCGGGTGGGTGGAGGGGTGGGGTGCTGCGGGTGGGTGAAGGGGTGGGTTTCTGCGAGTGGGTGAAGGGGTGGGGTGCTGCTGGTGGGTGGAGAGTTGGGCTGCTGCTGGTGGGTGGAGGAGTGGGGTGCAGCGGGTGGGTGGAGGGGTGGGGTGCTGCGGGTGGGTGGAGGGGTGGGGTGCTGCGGGTGGGTGGAGGAGTGGGGTGCTGCTGGTGGGTGGAGGGGTGGGGTGCTGCGGGTGGGTGGAGGGGTGGGGTGCTGCGAGTGGGTGGAGGGGTGGGGGTGCTGTGCGTGGGTGGGTGGAGGGGTGGGGGTGCTGCGGGTGGGTAGAGGGGTGGGGTGCTGCGGGTGGGTGGAGGGGTGGGGTGCTGCGGGTGGGTGGAGGGGTGGGGGTGCTGCGGGTTGGTGGAGGGGTGGGGTGCTGCGGGTGGGTGGAGGGGTGGGGTGCTGCGAGTGGGTGGAGGGATGGAGGTGCTGCGGGTGGGTGGAGGGGTGGGGTGCTGCGGGTGGGTGGAGGGGTGGGGTGCTGCGGGTGGGCGGAGGGGTGGGGTGCTGCGGGTGGGTGGAGGGGTGGGGTGCTGCGGGTGGGTGGAGGGGTGGGGTGCTGCGGGTGGGTGGAGGGGTGGGGTGCTGCGGGTGGGTGGAGGGGTGTGGAGCTGCTAGTGGGTGGAGGGGTGGGGTACAGCGGGTGGGTTTAGGGGTGGGGTGCTGCGGGTGGGTGAAGGGGTGGGGTGCTGCGGGTGGGTGGAGGGGTGGGGTGCTGCGGGTGGGTGGAGGGGTGGGGTGCTGCGGGTGGGTGGAGGGGTGGGGTGCTGCGGGTGGGTGGAGGGGTGGGGTGCTGCGGGTGGGTGGAGGGGTGGGGTGCTGCGGGTGGGCGGAGGGGTAGAGTGCTGCGGGTGGGTGGAGGGGTGGGGTGCTGCGGGTGGGGTGGAGGGGTGGGGTGCTGCGGGTGGGAGGAGAGGTGGGGTGCTGCTAGTGGGTGGAGGGGTAGGGGTGCTGCGGGTGGGTGGAGGGGTGGGGTGGTGCGGGTGGGTGGAGGGGTGGGGGTGCTGCGGGTGGGTGGAGGGGTGGGGTGCTGCGGGTGGGTGGAGGGGTGGGGTCCTGCGGGTGGGTGGAGGGGTGGGGTGCTGCGGGTGGGTGGAGGAGGGGGGGGGTGCTGCGGGTGGGTGGAGGGGTGGGGTGCTGCGGGTGGGTGGAGGGGTGGGGTGCTGCGGGTGGGTGGAGTGGTGGGGTGCAGCGGGTGGGTGGAGGGGTGGGGTGCTGCTGGTGGGTTGAGGGGTGGGCTGCTGCTGGTGGGTGGAGGGGTGGGGGTGATGCGGGTGGGTGGAGGAGTAGGGTGCTGCGGGTGGGTGGAGGGGTGGGGTGCTGCGGGTGGATGGAGAGGTGGGGTGCTGCTGGTGGGTTGAGGGGTGGGGTGCTGCGGTTGGGTTGAGAGTTGGGCTGCTGCTGGTGGGTGGAGGGGTGGGGTTCAGCGGGTGGGTGGAGGGGTGGGGTGTTGCGGGTGGGTGGAGGGGTGGGGTGCTGCTGGTGGGTGGAGAGTTGGGCTGCTGCTGGTGGGTGGAGGGGTGGGGTTCAGCGGGTGGGTGGAGGGGTGGGGTGCTGCGGGTGGGTGGAGAGGTGGGGTGTTGCTGGTGGGTGGAGGGGTGGGGTGCAGCGGGTGGGGTGGAGGGGTGGGGTACTGCTGGTGGGTGGAGAGGTGGGGGTGCTGCTGGTGTGTGGAGGGGTGGGGTTCAGCGGGTGGGTGGAGGGGTGGGGTGCTGCGGGTAGGTGGAGGGGTGGGGTGCTGCTGGTGGGTGAAGGGGTTGGGTGCTGCGGGTGGGTGGAGGGGTAGGGGGTGCTGCGGGTGGGTGGAGAGTTGGGCTGCTGCTGGTGGGTGGAGGAGTGGGGTGCAGCGGGTGGGTGGAGGGATGGGGTGCTGCGGGTGGGTGGAGGGGTGGGGTGCTGCTGGTGGGTGGAGGGGTGGGGTGCTGCGGGTGGGTGGAGGGGTGGGGTGCTGCGGGTGGGTTGAGGGGTGGGGTGCTGCGGGTGGGGTGGAGGGGTGGGGTACTGCTGGTGGGGGGAGGGGTGGGGTGCTGCTGGTGGGTGGAGGGGTGGGGTGCTGTGGTTGGGTGGAGGGGTGGGGTGCTGCGGGTAGGTGGAGGTATGGGGTGCTGCGGGTGGGTGGAGGGGTGGGGTGCTGCGGGTGGGTGGAGGGGTGGGGTGCTGCGGGTGGGTGGAGGTGTGGGGTTCTGTGGGTGGGTGGAGGGGTGGGGTGCTGCGGGTAGGTGGAGGGGTGGGGATGCTGCGGGTGGGTGGAGGGGTGGGGTGCTGCTGGTGGGTGGAGGGGTGGGGTGCTGCGGGTGGGTGGAGGGGTGGGGTGCTGCTGGTGGGTGGAGGGGTGGGGTGCAGCGGGTGGGGTACTGCTGGTGGGTGGAGGGGTGGGGTGTTGCTGGGTGGGTGGAGGTGTGGGGTGCTGTGGGTGGGTGGAGGGGTGGGGTGCTGCGGGTGGGTGGAGAGGTGGGGTGCTGCTGGTGGGTGGAGGGGTGGGGTGCTGCTGGTGGGTGGAGAGTTGGGCTGCTGCTGGTGGGTGGAAGGGTGGGGTGCAACGGGTGGGTGGAGGGGTGGGGTGCTGCGGGTAGGTGGAGGGGTGGGGATGCTGCGGGTGGGTGGAGGGGTGGGGTACTGCTGGTGGGTGGAGAGTTGGGCTGCTGCTGGTGCGTGGAGGGGTGGGGTGCAGCGGGTGGGTGGAGGGGTGGGGTGCTGCGGGTGGGTGAAGGGGTGGGTTTCTGCGAGGTGGGTGAAGGGGTGGGGTGCTGCTGGTGGGTGGAGAGTTGGGCTGCTGCTGGTGGGTGGAGGAGTGGGGTGCAGCGGGTGGGTGGAGGGGTGGGGTGCTGCGGGTGGGTGGAGGGGTGGGGTGCTGCTGGTGGGTGGAGGGGTGGGGTGCTGTGGGTGGGTGGAGGGGTGGGGTGCTGCGGGTTGGTGGAGGGGTGGGGTGCTGCGGGTGGGTGGAGGGGTGGGGTGCTGCTGGTGGGTGGAGGTGTGGGGTGCTGTGGGTGGGTGGAGGGGTGGGGTGCTGCGGGTGGGTGGAGGGGTGGGGTGCTTCGGGTGGGGTGCTGCGGGTGGGGTGCTGCGGGTGGGTGGAGGGGTGGGGTGCTGCGGGTGGGTTGAGGGGTGGGGTGCTGCTGGTGGGTGGAGGTGTGGGGTGCTGTGGGTGGGTGGAGGGGTGGGGTGCTGCAGGTGGGTGGAGGTGTGGGGTGCTGTGGGTGGGTGGAGGGGTGGGGTGCTGCGGGTAGGTGGAGGGGTGGGGTGCTGCGGGTAGGTGGAGGGGTGGGGTGCTGCGGGTGGGTGGAGGTGTGGGGTGCTGCGGGTGGGTGGAGGGGTGGGGTGCTGCGGGTGGGTGGAGTGAAGTGACTTGGGAGAGGGTGTCTGAGGTATGCCTGTGGGGGGGGGGAGGGGATGGAGAGGATGTGTGTATACTCTGTCAATCATGCCCCTCTCACTCACTCTCTGCACACATACACACACACACACACACGCGCGCACACAAAGACACACACACACACACACACACACACACACACACACACACACACACACACACACACACACACACACACACACACACACACACACACACACACACACACACAAGTGATGTGGTGGATGCTGACTCCATACACAGTTTCAAGTGTAGATATGATAGAGCCCAATAGGCTCAGGAATCTGTACGCCTGTTAATTGACGGTTGAGAGGCGGGACCAAAGAGCCAGAGCTCAACCCCCGCAAACACAACTAGGTGACAACTAGGTAACTCACACTTGACGCTGAGCTGGATGCCCTCAGAGGTAGCTGAGCCGAGCTGGTTGGCAGCGGTGCATGTGTAGAGGCCGGAGGAGTGACGCCCCACACTCTGAAGCACCAGGCTCTGGTTGGTGAGGATCACTCCAGCAGAGACGTTGTGGTGCAGCTCCTCCCCCTGCAACGACACCCACACGGATTACGTATGTAACACTTCAACTGCCTTCCCTGTGCTGTTTACCTGCCCCCGTGACTACTGTACCCGTGCTGGCGTGTGTCAGTGTTGCTTCATGGTATCGCTGTCATCCGTAACTTCTTTACTGTAGCAATAATGGTCGCCTACCTATCCACGGGGCTTGCCTCTGTTTCATGTATGTGTCTATGTTTTTCTCTAACACCTCTGTATCCTCTGTTATCTCTCTAACATCTCTGTATCCTTTGTTATCTCTCTAACACCTCTGTATCCTATGTTATCTAAAACTTATTTATCCTCTTCTATCTCTCTAACACCTCTGTATCCTATGTTATCTCTCTAACACCTCTGTATCCTATGTTATCTCTCTAACACCTCTGTATCCTACGTTATCTCTCTAACACCTCTGTATCCTCTGCTATCTAACACCTCTGTATCCTCTGTTATCTCCCTAACTCCTCTGTATCCTATGTTATCTCTCTAACACCTCTCTATCTTCTGTTATCTCTCTAGCACCTCTGTATCCTATGTTATCTCTCTAACACCTTTGTATTCTATGTTATCTCTCTAACACCTCTGTATCCTCTGTTATTTCTCTGGCAAACTTGCTCACCTCTCTAACACTGTGCTCCTAACGTACCCTCCGTTCAACATCGTACTAAATGAAAACATTAGTCCAGACAGTAGAACGAATGTTAAATATGTCGGAGATGATGTAAACATCTATTTTAATAACTAACACTCGAAGAACAGGCACTAATGTAGTCACCTGTATGATGATTTCAAGATGACCGACAAACATTAAATACAATACTTAAACAGAAATTGGATATAACCAGCTATTATTTTCCATAGGCATGTTTTGTATAGAAAAAAATGATTGCAACAATGCCATGTCAATATAAATCTTGCCAAAATAAAACTTACAAGGAAAATACTGACAGACTTATGGAGAATGGAAATAATATACACATATATTGGTATTAATAATATATGTAGAATATGATACTAATATAAACAGACAAAAAATAACATTAGGAGAGATTAAGACGGATGTTTAGAACATAGAGAAAATTAGGCATAAAATTTGAACGAGGCAGATGAAAATGATTTCCAAGAGGAGGAGCCTAGTGACAAGAGCAGAAAAAACAATTGTTCTCGCAGACATGAACGCAACAAAAAGTAAGTTAAAAGTTTGGTACACGACCATAGAACAATTTTAGCTATTGTCACCCCAAAATATCCAGAAACTCTTTTTAATTAATAAATTGAGGAGGGGGGGAAATATGACAGATGGCTGGAAATATGTGGGATGATTTTGGATTTTTGGAATGAAGAACATTACCTCGTGGTAATGCATTACAGTACACAGAAATGTAACATTTTGGCGGAAGCCAAATGACTTAAGAATTGAACTGAGGCGATTGAAACTGAAGACCCTAATCACTTTCCTATTCACAAAATCTAAAAATTTGGGTAACACGGTATTTTCCTTAATGTGAGAAAATGGCGAATTGAAAACTGTAGGGTATTATATAAATATTTGATGGGCTGAAGTTTTTATAAACGGGGACATCAATATGTAAAGTTATGTGCTAAATATATATATCACCAAGTCCTCAACTCCAGTTACTTCTGAACATGAAGAGAATTCCTAATAATTTAATCGGAGGCATGTTAGGCTTTGTCTAGGCAGATGTGTTCTCTAATAAAGTTAATAAAACTGTCTATTATTACAATTGAATTCGAGAGTTGAGTGTGCAACACCGAGATCAAAGGTTATTATAAGTCAGAAAGTCATTAATATAAACCATAGCATTATGTATACTATGAAGGTCATTATTGAATAATAATAATAATAATATAAATAATTATTACATGAGAATAACAAAGAAGAATCCTGAAGAACATTACAAGTGACCCGAAAAGAGGCAGAGGTTCAGTTACGTAGAAGAACGTAGAGAGAGAGAGAGAAAGAGAGAGAGAGACAGAGACAGAGAGAGGCAGAGAGAGAGAGAGACAGAGAGAGAGAGAGAGACAGAAAGACAGAGAGAGAGAGAGGAGACCAATAGCAAGAGAATAAGCACTCGCCTGCAGGAACCACAGCACCGTCACCACCGGCGGGTTGGCTTGTATGACACACTCGAAGTACACGTCGTCTCCTTCCTTGATGTTGGTCATCAACAGGTTGTGTCCGGCCCGCAGCTGCAGCCTCGGCGTGTCTGTCGACCTCACCCACATTATTCTCCACCCTTACAAAACTTGAGGGCTTAAAGGTTAAGAAGGGAAACCCCAACCTTTGGGGGATGGTTGGAACCCCAACCTTTGGGGGATGGTTAGATAACCTACTGTTAGTGTTTTTATAATTTTACTGTTAGTGTATGGAAGAGGGAGTCAGGGAACACCCGTGGGAAGTTGTACTGTCTAAACTATGGTAGGAGTCCGTGTGGGGCACCCGCGATCCATTCAGTGATCACCACCACCAGACACAGGTATTCAATGTTTAAGACGCATAATATTTAGCAAGACTTTACTTAGTGGTGATATCTTCAAGGAGTACTTTAAAGAAAGCAAGAAAGAAAAGTTTTTTATTAAAACATTTAGGTAATGAAAGTAAAATATTTCCAGTGTAACTATTAATAATTCCCGCGGCTCATAAACTCACAATAACGTGACTCACTTCACCAAATCGGCTTGACAGTAACCTTTGAGTCACTGAAGAATGTCACGTGATATACTCTGCATATAGATAGATATTTCCCGCCTCTCTATCAGCAACACAAACTCAAGTTGTCAAGGGGGTCAAGGAAACCAGCAACTAAATGAATTTAGGCGAGTCAACACTCACAATGAACACTGAGCTTGACAATGTCCTCCATGGCAGCCCCGGGCATCTCCGGGTTCTCCGCCCTGCACGACACGATGGCCCCGTCGTTGTTCCTGGTTGGTGTGAGGTGAAGGGTCGTCCTGCTTACGTTCCCTTCCTTCACCACCTAGAAAGACACAAACATATGACTTTGTTTAATATTTTTCTTTTTAAGACAACTCATAGCCCAGTCGACAGAGCTTCGAAGCCTCACACGCGTGGAATCCATGGTTTGAGACCCACACAGGGGTCTCTAACATAAAGAGACAGAAAGACCATAAAGAGGTACTGGCAGAGAGAGAGAGAACATAAAGAGGTACTGGCAGAGAGAGAGAGAGCATAAAGAGGTACTGGCAGAGAGAGAGAGCATAAAGAGGTACTGGCAGAGAGAGAGAGAGAGCATAAAGAGGTACTGGCAGAGAGAGAGAGCATAAAGAGGACCTGGCAGAGAGAGAGAGAGAGAGAGAGCATAAAGAGGTACTGGCAGAGAGAGAGAGAGCATAAAGAGGTACTGGCAGAGAGAGAGAGAGCATAAAGAGGACCTGGCAGAGAGAGAGAGAGCATAAAGAGGTACTGGCAGGATTAAGATTAAGAGGATTAAGAATAATTATTAAGATAAATATGACGAACAGCTAATGTTTTACTGAGGAAGATTGTCTGAAACTACAAGATGAACTAGACAAACCGTATGAATGGTCCAACAAATGGCTACTAAAGTTCAACCCACACACCACATATGTAAGACCAATCAAGGAGTATGCGGCTCCAGCATGGAGCCCGTACCTTGTCAAGCACAAGACGAAGCTGGAAAAAGTTCAGAGGTATGCTATTAGGATAGTCCCGGAACTAACAGGCATGAGTTACAGGGAAAGGCTGCGTGAAATGCACGTCACGACTCTAGAAGACAGATAAGTTGTGGAGACATGATCACTACCTACAAAATTCTCACAGGAATTGATAGGGGTAGATAAGGATAACTGTTTAACACTGGTGGTACGCGAACAAGGACACACAGATGGAAACTGAGTACCCAAATGAGCCACAGGGACGTTGGAAAGAACTTTTTCAGTGTCAGAGTAGTTAACAAATGGAATGCATTAGGCAGTGATGAGGTGGAGGCTGACTCCATACACAGTTTCAAATGTAAATATGATAGAGCCCAGTAGGCTCTGGAATCTGTACATCAGTTGATTGACAGTTGAGAGGCGGGACCAAAGAGCCAGAACTCTGCCCCCGTAAGCACATCTAAGTGGGTACACACACACACACACACACACACACACACACACACACACACACACACACACACACACACACACACACACACACACACACACACACACACACACACACACACACACACACACACACACACACACACACACACACACATACACACACATATGTAATGAGATGAGAGGCAATGACGAACCAGCGAGACTCGACCTAGTCTTCACTCTGAACGACTCCGACATAAGAGAAATCGGTTTTGAGGACCCAGTAGGAATGAGTGACCACAGTGTACTGGTGTTTGAGTACTTGATTGAAGAAGGGTTATTGAACTCGAGGAGGGATACCGAAACCAAAAAGTTAGCATACCGAAAGGGAAACTATGAGTGGATAAGAAAATTCCTAACAGATATAGCATGGGAAACAGAGCTCAGGGGAAAGACGGCCCAAGATATGATGGATTACATCACGCAGAAGTGCAAGGACGCAGCAAACAAGTTTGTCCCAGTCCAAAAGGAAAACAGAGAAATGAAGATGAGAAACCCTTGGTTTAATCAGAGATGTAGGCTAGCTAAGCAGCAAAGTAAAAGGGCATGGAGAAACTATAGGAATAACAGGACACTGGAGAGCAGAGAAAGATACCAGAATGCCAGGAATGAATATGTCAGGATGAGAAGAGAGGCAGAAAGACAATACGAAAATGACATCGCAAGCAAGGCAAAGACTCAGCCTAAATTGTTGCATAGCCACATTAGGAGAAAAACAACAGTAAAGGAACAGGTTATGAAATTAAGGAGAGGGGTGGAAGGATTCACTACAAATGACAAGGAAGTGTGTGAGAAATTGAATAAGAAATTCCAGGAGGTCTTCACCTTAGAGCAAGGAGAAATTCCAGAGGTAAGTGAGGGAATAGCTAACCAGGAACCACTGGAAGAGTTTGAGATTACCAGTGGGGAAGTAAGGAAGTGTTTACTAGAGTTGGATGTGACGAAGGCTATAGGCCCAGATGGAATCACCCCTTGGGTTCTAAAGGAAGGAGCAAGAGAACTGTGCCTACCACTCTCCATAGTGTATAACAAATCACTGGCAACAGAGGAACTGCCAGATATTTGGAAAGCAGCTAACGTAGTCCCGATATACAAGAAAGGGATAGACAGGAGGCACTGAACTACAGGCCAGTGTCCCTAACCTGCATACCATGCAAGCTGATGGAGAAGATTGTGCGAAAAAAATTAGTGGAGCATCTGGAGCGAAGGAACTTTGTAACACAGCATCAACATGGGTTCAGGGATGGCAGGTTTTGCCTCACAGGGTTACTTGAATTCTATGACCAGGCAACAAACATAAGGCAAGAAAGAGAAGGGTGGGCAGACTGCATTTTTTTGGATTGTCAGAAAGCCTTTGATACAATGCCACACAAGAGGCTAGTGCGAAAGTTGGAGATGCAGGCTGGAGTGAAAGGGAAGGTACTCCGGTGGATAGAGGAGTACCTAAGCAACAGGAGACAACGAGTCTGTGTGAGGGGTGAGGTCTCAGATTGGCGAGACGTCACAAGTGGAGTCCCGCAGGGGTCAGTCCTTGGACCTATACTGTTTCTGGTATATGTAAAAGATCTTCCAGAGGGTATAGATTCGTTCCTTTCAGTGTTTGCCGACGATGCAAAAATTATGAGGAGGATTGAAACAGAGGATGATAGTAGGAGGCTACAAGATGACCTGGATAGACTGAGTGAATGGTCCAACAAATGGCTGTTGAAGTTCAACCCGAGTAAATGCAAAGTAATGAAACTAGGCAGTGGAAACAGGAGGCCAGGCACAGGATACAGAATAGGAGATGAAGTACTTAATGAAACAGACAGAGAGAAAGATCTAGGAGTTGATATCACACCAAACCTGTCTCCTGAAGCCCACATAAAGAGAATAACGTCTGCGGCATATGCGAGGCTGGCTAAAATCAGAACGGCGTTCAGGAACCTGTGTAAGGAATTATTCAGAATCTTGTACACCACATATGTAAGACCAATCCTGGAGTATGCTGCCCCAGCATGGAGCCCGTACCTTGTCAAGCACAAGACGAAGCTGGAAAAAGTCCAAAGGTATGCTACTAGACTAGTCCCAGAACTAAGAGGCATGTGTTATGAGGAAAGGCTGCGGGAAATGAACCTTACGACACTGGAAGACAGAAGAGTAAGGGGGGACATGATCATAACCTACAAAATCCTCAGGGGAATCGACCGGGTAAACAAGGATGAACTATTCAACACTGGAAAGACGCGAACAAGGGGACACAGGTGGGAGCTGAGTACCCAAATGAGCCACAGAGACATTAGAAAGAAATTTTTCAGTGTCAGAGTAGTTAGTAAATGGAATGCATTAGGAAGTGATGTGGTGGAGGCTGACTCCATACACAGTTTCAAATGTAGAAATGATAGAGCCCAGTAGGCTCAGGAATCTGAACACCAGTTAATTGACGGTTGAGAGGCGGGACCAAAGAGCCAAAGCTCAACCCCCGCAAGCACAATTAGGTGAGTACACACACACACACACACACACACACACACACACACACACACACACACACACACACACACACACACACACACACACACACACACACACACACACACACACACACACACACATTACCTGTCCATGACGGAAGGTCACCAGGAGCACCAGAGAGAGAGAGAGAGAGACAGTACCTGGTCGTGATCAGTGTCCACCAGGAGGCCGTCCATCCACCAAGAGAGGGTGGCGGGGGGCCGGGAGCCGCCCGCCTCACACACCAGGGAGTACGGCTGACCCTCGGCCATCGGGGGGTTGGTGCCCACGATGCTCACCTCCAGCGGCGGGACTGTCAACAACATCACAATCAAACTTCACCACGTAATATTCACTTCTAACTTCCGGGGTCATAACGTCATACCTACTCAGGTTTTAGGTAATGTTCTGGAGCAATTTACCTATATTGTTATGCTTAACATGTAAAATAGAATCAGGTTTTACTGATAAAAACTCATGTTACATTTTTACAAAATCTAGATTTACGTCAGTGCAACAGTATTCACTGTGTCAAAGTTTAAAATATTTTAGCGTCTCAGTTTTAGAAACAAAATAAGTATTTATTTAATTTAGAATAATGTTCCCAATTACAAATACAATGTGGAATAACTAAAAGTAATAACGCCCAAATAAAAATTATCTGTAGTGGTGAAAGTCTTTTAATCTTGTGCGCAAGTTCAGGATGTGTTTTTCAGATAGAACAAACCTACTAATATTTTAGAGGTCATAGACATCCTGACAGCTGAAAATACCTTTTCAATCAACGGCAGACTCACTACGAGTCTACGGCATCTTTCTACTACTCACTGACGCCCTATATCATATTTCCGTGAAGAGAAGATTAAGATTGTCTTACCAGTCACATGTTTTAAACCAATTTGTGAAATTTTTTATGTCTAACCACTTTAGGTTCTATTTGGACTTTTTGAAAGAATTAAAATTAGAAATCTGAAACTCACTCATGTTTGATGTCAACATCCGGTGACATCGAACATTCATCCAAATTCGGACATGAAGTAGTTCACGTTTAGGCCACAGATTGTAGATACATACAGTTGACCTACTTTCTGAGGTGTTCATCCCACAGCCACCCTAAATTATACGAGTATGACAACCTTCTGAAATTCATGCTAGAGAAAGTCCTGAACCTTCTGCAGGACAACTCTCAATGGGAGCAAGCAACTCTTGCCCATCAGATTCGGTGTCCGCACAGCCTCACAATTTGCTCTACAAGCCTTCCTTTTTCCCTCCTGTGCATCGAACGACCTTTTGAGAGAAATCCTACCGTAACCACTGGGTAATTTTGGTCCCATTAGGATACATGATCCTACTTTTATTGAATGTTCAAATCAGTCGGATGCCCTTGCAGTTCCAGCACCCAACTTAGATTCAAGAAAAAAATAACATAAACAGTCCAGCTGGGATAGCCCTAGTAGAAAATAAAATAGCTGATGCCATGCTCAATGCTGCAACATCAAATAGAGAGGGACCGCCTCAGAGCAGTGCATGCCACCCATGCATAGATCCGGTGACCCTCTGTGCAGCAGAATGCCTTGGTGCCCCAATTCACACTGAATAAAAGTGTATTTGCTACAGGGTGGAAGAAGAGCAATATGTACTGCATGGGCTGCACTGCAGAAGCTCCAAAGGCTTCTGCAAGACACAACGAGGATAATATATATGACATCAAGAGGAGCCTTGCCTCAGCTCAGTGCCGAGTAGAGGTAGACCCTCGATCCTAATGGCCCAAATCATGGACGTTCACATGCTTCGCCCAGATGGCATTACAATACCCCTGGAAGAGGGGCAAACAGCTGGCGTTGGTCTACACTTGTGTATCCACCCTCGCTGACACCTATATACACCTTGATCAGCACACCTCGGTGCTGATCAAGTGAGGTGGTGCAGCTAACCACTCGGAAACAGCAAAATCCAACATGAACAGGTAGCTGAAAAGTCAATATTGCTTAATACCCATAGCATCAGACATGCTTGGCTCCTGAGATAGGAGCACTCTAAGCTTTCTCAGAGAATTGGGTTCCATGCTAGTTGACACCAACAGATACAAAAGAGCAGCCAGTTTCTTGCTTCAGCGCCTCAGTGTGATGATTCCGACGGGAAATGCCTGCTGTTTCCTCGGTTCCAATCCGGAAACAGACGAGCTCCAAGAGAACCCCAACATTAAACCATTCATTATATTCACCAATGTATAACTTGCAACCGTGAAATATCTAATGAAGCAAAATATAACACAAAAAGAAGGCGAGTGGAAGGACAAAAGAACATGGAAACTGCATTGTAGGGGACACAAAAATCCCCTTAATATATTAGTATATTTTGGTAGCAGTCTTTCCTGTAGACATATATTATTAATCTTAGAATTATTAATCTTACTAATCGTGTTAGAATTATTAATCTTACTTTTTCGGTCATATTTAATAATATATATATATATATATATATATATATATATATATATATATATATATTATATATTATATATATATATATATATATATATATATATATATATATATATATATATTATATATATATATATATATATATATAATATATATATCTATATAATATATATATATATATATATATATATCTATATATCCCTCCCTCTGTGCTCTCAAAAAGAAGGACGAAGGAATCAGGCCAATCGCTGTTGGCCAACACTCTCCGACGCCTGATTGCCAAGGCTGCTACGAGGGTAGTTAGCCAGCAAGCGGCTGAATTGCTGAAACCAATCCAGCTAGGATTTGGGAATCCCCCAAGGCTGTGAAGCGGCTGCCCATGCAGCACGAGCATACATCACAAACATTTCTGATGAAAAGCCCTGCTCAAACTGGACTTTAAGAATGCCTTCACATGGTCAGAAGAGATGCAGTACTTTGTGCCGTACATCGCCATTCCGGCCCCTCTACCCGTTCAATACTATCGTGCTACAGTGGCGAGTCAAAACTGCTCTTTGGTGAACATGAAATAGATCATGTGAAGGTGTTTCAGCAAGGTGATCCTCTTGCTCCCCTTCTTTTCTGCTTAGTCTTAAAAGAAATCACCGAAAGCTTGTCCAGCGAGTTCAACATCTTGTTTTTTGGATGATGGCACTATAGCTGGCACCGTAGACCACCTCTTGTCAGATATCAGGAAAATAAGGGAGCAAGAAGTAAGCCTGGGTCTCGTCCTGAACCCTTCCAAGTGTGAAGTAGTCTCCTCCAACCCAGACATCGTAGCTAGAATAAGGTCTGCCTGCCTGGAGCCCATGTCATTAGGGTCGCGAACAGCACCCTCCTTGGAGCTCCCCTCGGGTCTAACGCCATTGAGGAGATCCTCGACAAGAAATCGCAGACCTTAGGAGGATGGAAGACAGAATAGGTGACATCGATGCCCACGATGCTTTTATCTCCTCACCAAATGCCTATCCCTTCCGAGGCTAACCTACTTTCTGAGGGTGCGCCCCATCTTACAACAACCCAAAGCTTGACGAGTATGACCTCCTACTGAAGACCATGCTGGAAAAAGTTGTTAACCTCTCTCTCAACGATGCCAGTGGAAACAAGGCACTCTTCTGTCAGGCTCGGTGGCTTGGGTGTCCGCACCGCCACCCAAATTGCTGTCCCAGCCTTCCTGTCTTCCTCCTCAGCATCAGATGACCTGGTTAAGGAAATTCTACCTGACACCCTGAGTGATGTAGCGGGGATACAGGACCCCCACTACACGGAATGCGACACAAATGGGATGCCATGACAGACCCCAGCACTCAGACCAGCCATGCCGAAGCCAAGAACCAATCCATTGGGACAGCCCCATTGTAGACAAAGAAGCCACAGCTTTGCTGGAGGCAGCAACAACCCCGCCAGTGATCGTGCACGCCTCACAGCTGGCAGGCTCCCCATGCAGGGGACTTCCTTCTGGCAGTCCCTATGTCTGCGACAGGCACACGTCTTGATCCGCAGGAGCTCCGTATTGCAGTCGCTCTCCCGCCTTGCTGCCCCTCCACACACTGTTCACAGTGTGATTTGCGGAGAGGCAGATGCTGACGAATATGGTTGCATGGCCTGCACTGTGGAAAATCGGGTGGTTTGGCACACTAGACACGACGAAGTCAACGACATCATTAAAAGAAGCCTGCCTCTGCTCAGTGTCCAGCGGAGAGAGAGCCCCGCCACCTACTGAACCGTGACTCTGTTAGCTTTGCCGGCCGACCAGACGGAATCACACTGCGTCCGTGGAAGGGTGGCAGGCAGTTAGCATGGGACTATACTTGCGTATCCACCCTGGCAACGACATACATCCCCTCTCTGCCGGCACGGCGGGAGCCGCAGCGACACACAGAGAAAAACAAAAGTCAGTCAAGTACAGGCAATTAGATCAAAGGTACAATTTCGTTCCAATAGGGTCTGAGACCCTAGGCCCATGGGGTGAGAGTGGCAAGAAGGTTTCTTAAGGATCTTGGTTCCAAGCTCATTGACACCACAAGAGACCCTAGAGCAGCAAGTTTTCTCTTTCAGCGCCTCAGTGTCGCGATCCAGAGGGGGAATGCTCGCTGCATCCTCGGTTCCTGCCCGGCGTCGGAGGAGTTCGAGGAAATCTACAGCCTCTAGGAAGCGAACTTTTTCTTGTGTCCTCTTAATGTTTATTTTTTGTATAAAATCAGATATGTAACTGTATAACCTTGCATAATAAAGTGTACATCATAATAAAAAAAAAGGGGGGGTGGTATAGAATGAACACTCTTCGTATTCAGAGTTAATGTCAAGTTTTTCCCTGAGTGCTCTGTGTTCCCTTCTCTGAGGCTGTGGGTCCCTATAATTGCACCAGTGGTGGTACCCCCTTATATATATATATATATATATAATTATATATATAGTATATTATATATATATATATATATATATATATATATATATATATATATATATATATATATATATATATATATATCAATCTTTGGACAACACCCACCAGTGGGACTCGAACCCAGAAAGCACAACTACCTTCCAGTAGCTGCCATAACTAGTACGCTTTAACCCACTACACCATCAGACCCTACAAAAGAAGTAGAGACTTCGACATATATATACATCTCAAATATCTCCACTTCCCAAGGGCACCAGATAAGTGTGAGGTTAGTCTGCGTTTTTCATCAAGCCACTGTCAATGTGAGAGAACTCGTGTCCATGCTATAAGCCTATACTTGCATAAACCACAAGTGAAGATTAATTAAAGTGTAGTGGGTTAAAGCGTACTAGTTATGGCAGCTACTGGAAGGTAGTTGTGCTTTCTGGGTTCAAGTCCCACTGGTGGGTGTTGTCCAAAGATTGTTAATCTTCACTTGTGGTTTATGCAAGTATAGGCTTATAGCATGGACACGAGTTCTCTCACATTGACAGTGGCTTGATGAAAACGCAGACTAACCTCACACTTATCTGGTGCCCTCGGGAAGTGGAGATATTTGAGATTATATATATCTCGAAGTCTCTACTTCTTTTGTAGGGTCTGATGGTGTAGTGGGTTAAAGCGTACTAGTTTATGGCAGCTACTGGAAGGTAGTTGTGCTTTCTGGGTTCGAGTCCCACTGGTGGGTGTTGTCCAAAGATTGTTAATCTTCACTTGTGGTTTATGCAAGTATAGGCTTATAGCATGGACACGAGTTCTCTCACATTGACAGTGGCTTGATGAAAAACGCAGACTAACCTCACACTTATCTGGTGCCCTTGGGAAGTGGAGATATTTGAGATGTATATATATCTCGAAGTCTCTACTTCTTTTGTAAGGTCTGATGGTGTAGTGGGTTAAAGCGTACTAGTTATGGCAGCTACTGGAAGGTAGTTGTGCTTTCTGGGTTCGAGTCCCACTGGTGGGTGTTGTCCAAAGATTGTTAATCTTTCACTTGTGGTTTATGCAAGTATATATATATATATATATATATATATATATATATAATATAATATATATATATATATATAATAATATATATATATATGTCGTACCTAGTAGCCAGAACGCACTTCTGAGCATACTATGCAAGGCCCGATTTGCCTAAATAAGCCAAGTTTTCATGAATAATTGTTTTTCGACTACCTAACCTACCTAACCTAAACTAACCTAACATTTTCGGCTACCTAACCTAACCTAACCTATAAAGATAGGTTAGGTTAGGTTAGGTAGGGTTGGTTAGGTTCGGTCTTATATCTATTTAATTTAACTCCAATAAATAAAATTGACCTTATACATAATGAAATGGGTAGCTTTATCATTTCATGAGAAAAAAAATTATAGAAAATATATTAATTCAAGAAAACTTGGCTTATTAGGCAAATCGGGCCTTGCACAGTAGGCTCAGAAGTGCGTTCTGGCTACTAGGTACGACATATATATATATATATATATATATATATATATATATATATATATATATAATATATATATATATATATATATATATATATATATATATATTATTAAATATGATCGAAAAAATAAGATTAATAATTCTAACACGAATTTTCTCAATCTTTCGTACATTTCTTTTCACTGTTGGAGGTAATTCAAAAATCAATTCTCCAAAATTCATTTTATTTCTAGTCTGACGCGACACGAGCGCTTTTCGTAAAACTTATTACATTTTCAAAGACTTTAGTTTACAAATACACAACAGAATAGAACTTACACATCTCCGATTTTCCTTATATCTACATTTGAGTGAGGTGGATGGGGTGAGGTGGCATTAATAGGGTATTAATTTCATCAACACAAGACAGAACAAGAGGTGGCATTAATAGGGTATTAATTTCATCAACACAAGACAGAACACGAAACAATGGGTATTGGAAGTGAATGTAGAAAGCCTATTGGTCCATATTTCTTGATGCTTCTATATTGGAGCGGAGTCTTGAGGTGGGTAGAATATAGTTGTGCATTAATTGGCTATTGATTGCTGGTGTTGACTTCTTAATGTGTAGTTCCTCGCAAAAGTCAAGCCGCCTGCTATCGCTGTATCTATCGATGATTTCTGTGTTGTTTACTAGGATTTCTCTGGCGATGGTTTGGTTGTGGGAAGAGTTTATATGTTCCTTAATGGAGCCCTGTTGTTTATGCATCGTTAAACGCCTAGAAAGAGATGTTGTTGTCTTGCCTATATACTGGGTTTTTTGGAGCTTACAGTCCCCAAGTGGGCATTTGAAGGCATAGACGACGACGTCTAGGCGTTTTAACGATGCATAAACAACAGAGCTCCATTAAGGAACTTATAAACTCTTTATAGATATATATATATATATATATATATATATATATATATATATATATATATATAATATATATATATATATGTATATATATATATATATATATTATATATATATATATATATATATATATATATATATATATATATATATATATATATATATATATATATATATATATATATATAAGTCACTCGAACTCATACTGTTAGGAGCACTTTGCAACTGATGTACAGGACACCTTAACTACTCGACCATCACGACCGGACAAAAGATGATGGTAGCCGAGGATATTTCCCCATCATCCCCCCGGCACTCTGATGGTAATCTTGGGCATAGTGTTTTACCAAATTTCCTCATTCTTTGGGGCACACGTGAGGAACACAAATGTCAAAAAGCCTGAATGGTCCCCAGGCATATATGCAACTGAAAACTCACACCCCAGAAGTGACTCGTACCGATAATGCCAGCAGCACTTTGCAACAGGTGTACAGGACACCTTAACCACTCGACCATCACGACCGGACAAAAGGTGATGGTAGCCGAGGCTATTTCCCCATCATCCCGCCGGCACTCTGATGGTAATCTTGGGCATAATATTTGATCAAATCACCTCATTCTTTGGGGCACACGTGAGGAACACAAATATGAACAAGCCTGAACGGTCCCCAGGCACACATGCAACTGAAAACTCACACCCCAGATGTGACTCGAACCCATACTGCCAGGAGCACTATGCAACTGGTGTACAGGACACCTTAACCATTCGACCATCACGACCTCTAAGGAAGAATTGAAACAGGAATTTCCTTAAGTACTTTGGTATTTTTCCTTAAGTACTTTCGTATTTAACAACACATCTTCAGAGGGTCAATTCTTCTTTCGTGGTCTGACACTATCACATTTTTC